GCCTGCATGTATCTTAGGCAACATATTATCCTATGTTGTCTTAGTTTAATGTTGGCCACTCATGTTTTTTTTTTTTTTTTGAAATCTATCAAAGTTTATTTAGGCAACATATATTCTTGTTTCTATGTTGTCTAAGGTGAAAAAGATAAATCCATCACAATTTACTTAGACAACATATGTTCTTGTGTCTATGTTGCCTAAGCTAAAAAGGTAAATCTCTTTCCCCCTAAAATTTTCATCTCCTTTCTTTTTCCCCCTACTCCCAATGCCATCCCCGCTCCCAATTTCTCTCCATCGATTGCCTTAGATGATGCAATAGGAGGTAGAGATTTGTAGGGCTTGCATGTGATTTCTTCACTCGACAGATCTCCAACCTACCATCGATTCCTTCCAACCAAATATCTATTTCTCTCCTTTATATTCGATCTGGTAAGTATATAGAATCTTCAGTAGTTGTGTTATATTCTCCATTTGCGGATTCACTAGACAATATACAGATGTAAGATTCAAACTCAAGATATTAAGGATTGTCCTAAGCAGAAAATGTTTCATTCTAATTTATTGGTATATTCATAGAAGACTTCCAAAAAGATAAAGCTTTTAATGTCTGCCCATTATAGGCCTTCAATAATTAAATGAAAAATCCGTTAGTGTTGGTTTTAACTTAAGACTTCTGTGTTTACCTAAGTATGTTTCTTCACTTAAACAACTATCTAGAATGAATGGGCGTGCTTATATTGTTCTTTGGTTTATGCATCTTGATTGATTATTTTTCATCTCAAATTTGGTTGATTGACCAAATCTCACAACTAAAGAGGGAAAAATGAGAAGTAAAACATGAACAAAACCTGGCACTTTTTTTCTTTCATTTCTTAGATCAACCACATATATAAATTATTTTATCATGAATATAAATATTTGCAAAACTGGTTGCTAGAATGTCTAATTGTTTTCTTTAGCATCAATTTTCAAATCTAACATGTCTGATTGTTTTCTTTCCCTAGGATCCTCAGTTTTCTGTTCACTCTTGCTATGTTTTTGCCTCATAGGAGAACATGCTTTTGAAAGCTTTTTTGATGCCCATTTGGGATAGGTATTCAACTTGGTCCATGTCTTCCAAGAAGAAAACGCGACTAGCATTTTCCTGTACCGCCCCTCCAAACCTTTCTATATAACTCTACCCATCTTTATCACTTGCCCTTCTATTACTAATTAATTCTTGATCATCATTCATTGAGTTGGATTTTGTTGATGAGAGGCAGCTCAGACAAATGGAAATGAAGTTGTTCTTTGATCCAAACACATCTCTGGCTAGCTCTCGTGATATCATCTCTTTTCCTTGGCTGTCAGCACCTAAGAAAAACGACCATGTCTCTTCTTTGCTTTTCCTTTTCGTTAACCCGGATCTGCATCGAAGGGTAATACTCACAATTACTGAAAAAAATTCTTGTTGCTAGGAACCCTTTTCTCCAATGTATTGCTTATAATCTTCATGTTCTCAGAGTTCACCTTTTGAACTTGTGCAAGAAAAATTCATCAGGATCTTCACTCACCTCATTACAAGAGGCCAAATTTGGACCTGAATTTGGTTGGATATGAGGTATGGTTTTATAGCCACACTAAGATGTTTCTAAATCAACACTTGAGTTGCAAACTGTGATGGAAAGATCACCAATGATGACACTTGCTCCTGATAATACAGATGTGTTGAGTTTAGTATCTCCAGTTTGTTCATTTGCTGAATTCTATTGTTTTTTGTTTGATCATTTTTGGAGGATTTTGAATAAGGGCATTCGATAATTCCCCTCATAACAACCATTTGGTAGTGATTTGATCTGATGCCATTTTTATGTATAAACAAGAATTTTATTTAAACATTGATTTTTGTAGATCCATATGCCTCCAAAAAAGAACTCAAGCGTTTAATTTAGTTAAGGCGTCAGTCTTGGGGCAGACTACGATATGCCTAGAGGGTGATTTGGCGGAGATCTCGTCAGAGGCGACACCTTTCATCCAACGCCAATTCTACCCTCTGTCTTTGGACTCACCAACTACACCGGCGTCACCAGAGACGAGCACACCTACTAGTGGGCCACTTTCTCTAGATATACGTATCAATTGTCGCCGCATCCATGTGGAACCAACTGAATAACCAGTTACAAAGAAGGCAAGACGAGGAATTATCACCGAAAAGACGATTAAGAGTGACATCGCTAACAACGAAAATAAATGTCTTTTTCTTAAGTGGAACATGGAAAAAAATTTGCCCGACACAAACAAAGTTTGTAGGATCGCAAAGCAAATTGGGAGCATTGTTCGTGAGCATATTCCGATGTTGACCGATAGTTATTTAAAACTTACGCAAGATGAACTCAAGATTGTGGTTGATCAACTTAGCGTAAGTATATTTTTATTGCTAGTTCTTTTTTTTTTTGATGATTTATGTCTTATTAATTAATAATGCTTAACTTTTTATTTCATTCTAATTTGTATTCGCTTTTCAGGTTTTCTTTGAGATTGATTGGAATGGACCTCCGGGTGATGCATTATTTGAATGGATCCACCTAACTGCTCGCCACTCATACAATAGGTGGAAAACTGATTGCCACACATTATATAAAAAGCAAGGTCGTCTTCCAATCCCGATGAACTTCGTACATCGTCCAAATCAATGGGATTTTTTGTGCACGCTTTTTAAGAAAGAAACATAAAAGGTATGTGATGAGTAAATAATTAAATATATAAATTACTTTTTTGAGTTTAGATTGTAAAATAAGTGTTTCTCATGTTGTAGAATAAATCAAAGAGAATGTTAGAAGCAAAGTTGTCAAAAAATAGGATCGAGCATAAATCGGGACCGGCTTTGTTCTGGTTTAGGGCTAATATATAAACTTGAAGCTATCGGACATGAGGCTTCTTATCTCGGTACAATTTTTGAGACCACTACAAGTGAAGACCGTAAAGTAAGTAAACTTGAACTTTTATTTTTGTGCGATCATGATTTATATATTTTTTCCCTTTGCTGTCCAGCATCACTTTTTCACCTTTGACATCCGTTTTAGCTTAGATTCAGCATGAATTACAGAAACTCAAAACTTAAAAGTTGTAGGGTCGTTTGTTATCTTTATAGACCATCTTTAATCACTTAAATCCGAACTCGGAAGAGTGATATATGCTCGAAATACCATAGTCTCACAAAGCTATCAAAAATTATTCTTTTATCCCTTTTTTCGTTCCAACTTTTCCAACCCTATAAAAATATAAAAAGACATTAGTGTAGTTCGTTTTTTCCCATTTTAACTCATAAATTAGGGATGATCGACGGGAAATATATAATTGTAATTAAAACAATTGTTTGAATCGTATTCACAGAAATGGTTGTTCCAGGTATCGGTAGCTTGGCGGTTCGACCTGCGAGGATGAGAGGACCGGCGAAGGATTCTCTAAGCCAATATCTTCAGTTGACGAGGAAGATTTCGACGACAACTTGCCGAGCACGACGAGGAGATTCACTTGCTAAAAGATGGACAAAATGAGGCAAAAAAGGAAACCGTCGAGCAAAGAAAGATGATACAATCGTTGATGACTATGTTGGGTGTTAGTGATTCAAACTCTAACTCAACAACCCCAACCTCTCATGCTTTAGGTTAAGTTTTTAATTTTGTGTTATTGAACTTGTAGCCTACTTTTAGACTTATTTAGGAAAAAAATTATCTTTCAATTATTGAACTTATTAATTTTGTTTGGTTATAAAAGTTGTTTGTATAAAACATTTGTTTGCTTGTTTGTGGGAGTTGTTTGCAGAAAACATGTTTGTTTGCTTGTTTTTGAGATTCGTTTGTAGAAAGTATGCAAGAAAAAAAACTGCATCATGGAAATAGAGTATGTTGTCTAAGCTGATACCTTAGGCAACATATGCAAATAGAGTATGTTGTTTAAGCTGATACATTACGCAACATATGCATAGATAAAATGTTGACTAAGAGTTTGTATGATGCAACATATGTTTTTTACATAAGCAACATAACCTTTTGCGTGTTTCCTAAGAAGTTCGCTTAGGCAACATATGTTGTTTGCATATGTTGCTTTGGTTCTAATGCAACATTGAGAAGGCAACACGGATTTGTTGCCTAAGCCTTACGCAACAGTGGCGTTTTGAGGAGGGATGTATGAATCGACATTACAGAAAATGCATTTTTTTTCAATGATTCACTTATGGAACTTTCCTTATAAATTCCATTCTCACGATATTTAGCATTTTTATTTGAACCTTTCACACGGGTTTAAATTAAATCTTAGTTGTTATTAAAATTTCTCTTTTAACTATTGTAAAATCAAATATTTATAATAAAATCAAATCTATTAATTAAAAAAATATATTAATTAGGCGGAGAAGGTTTCAATGACAAGCAGTTGCAATAGAGGTGTGTCAAGTCTACACAACCAGAGTGACGGAAATATTTTTCAACTATTAAGATCTAAAGGATCACCGGTTTAAGTCCCCTTAAAATCACTAGACCACATGAGTAGTCAAGGTGTTACAAAAAAACGTAAAGTTTGCAAGTATATACAAGGCCACAGGGAGATAAACGTTTTCCTAAGTCAACTTCGTACCTCGTGGCAATTCAAAGGTTATGTAGATACAAATCCGTAAAGATCGATCGGTTGATTACAAGTGTCGAAGATATATGAAAATCCGTCACGTCCATTGGAAAATAGATTCTAGCTATCATGCTTTGTTAAGGTTACTTTTGATTTTGACCACCTTAAAGTTCATAGGACAGAAAATAGAAATTACCATCAAAATCATATTATACTATATGTAAGCAACCTACTACTTCAGTCAAAAAGATCAAGTAGCTAGTATAATCAATTAATCATGCTTATTGAAGTTGAGATGGAAAAAGACAACTGAACCAAAATATGGACCTAAAACTGAAATCAAAATGATGATTTACAAGCTTTTCTTGTAACAAGTGACGAAAAAAGGGCCAGGTTGTTCAACACTTGATCTCCTTGAGCCCATACGCAAGGTAGAGAAAAGTTGGATCGGCGGCACCATCCATGTAGTATGCAAACACCGTCATGCCATCATCATGCATGCCTTCCCCTACGAAGCTGCACAACGCAAGTTGTGTTATCTACATACCATTTTCGTGATGTGGGTGCTGTTAGAGTTCACATTGGATTAGAATTGAACCAATTTTTGTTGAATATATGTTAAAAACCTCCCTTCTCTTCTCAAGGGATCTTTTCGAGAATGACATGGGAGTTCCACGTATTCTAACACGGTATCAGAGCCAAAGATTACCACTCTAGGGACTTGAGACTCTGGAGCAACTTGTACTCATCTAGCCCCCTTAGGGACAATATCAAGCCTTCATTGAAGGGAACATATTAGAGTCCCATAACGGCTATACTAGGTCCATTTCTCTCGAATATATGTTGGAACCTCATTTCTCTCCTCAAAGGCTCTTTTAGCGAGTAATATAATGGGGTTCTAAATATATTCTCACGGGCGTAATTTAGAAGGGAATGACAATACTCACAATTGAAGGTCTTTAAGCTTTGAAAGAAGAAATTTAGTGGCTCCCTCTATATGTTTCTTGAAAGTTTCTTGTTTTTTCGGTTCMAATTTAGGTGTCAACAACTTGATGTATTTCTTGATGTACGCAACGAACTGCTTCTTGTCGAATGGAGGTTGTTCCTAAAATATAGTTTACAAAGATGGACTAATTGAATCATACTCATCTCATAATCAATACCATATATAGAGTTTTGAGACATACCTGAAGTCTAAAAGTATCTACGATATCAACCACCTTAACCACTTGGTCATCCACCCCTTCATCCTCACCGCCTTCGGCTGAAGGATTAGCACCAATGTTCACATCAACAGCCCCTTGAACTACCCACTAAAATATCCAAGATAAGTTATTAGGACTCGTGAAATAAAAATCTGGGGAGATTAAAAGAAAATTGTGATCGGTTGAAGAAAGTTTTCTATATAGGGCATATCAGTTTAATAATTTCCCTTCTCAGGTTTTTAGTTGGTTGGTCAAAAAAATCTACTTTTCGTTAAGAAGGTCCTACGGTCGAATCTAGTCTTTGTGGTGCTGTTCGTTCTTGTTCTACTTCTTTCATGCTCCATTGGTATGGATCAGGTTTTTCGTCTAAATTATTTTTCATGATTTTAAAAGAAAACCTACTGAAAAGATCTGATCTTTCTATTACCTTTCCTTCTACTTCCCATAACATTCCATTCTCAATTTCCTTATAGGGAAAAGAATCTGAAAGAAGTTCATCGCCTGAAATTTCACAAGTGGCTTAAGTTTAGCAACTTAATACAAGGAATAAATAAAGAATTACACGAATATGTGATACTGCTGTTGTGTTTTTTTGGATAATTATGAGTACACGCTACGGGCCTGTGCGCGAATACGAGTAGCCTAGAGTCATCACAGTTGAACCTCCATAACCACAATGGTTTTAACAGGCCTGGATTTCAACCCAGGAAGATGCAATTTCCACCAACCCCTGAGCCTTAACCAGTTCGCCTCAACCAAGGAACAATAATTATGATTACTAGCATTACTGAAGTGGTCCGATTAAATTGCCATTGAGATTTTCATGTAGTTATAAGAAACTAATAAGGACTTTGAGAACTACAAAATCTTTGCATTCACTAATCAAAAGTTCAACAACAAATCATTCAAGAGGAACATGAAAGAAATTGAAATATGTTCTTTCAAAATCTAAAACAAGAAAGAATCTATTAATGGATCGATATCTATCCATATTGTTTCAGTTTTTTTCTTAATAATCAAAGACATGTTAATTAATCAAGAAACCCATCAAAGATCAGCCAAGGAGCAACCTTCAAATGGCACATAACTTTATTGTATATAATGTGTGGGCAACTAATTTCATCAAACACCTTGTCCACATGTTTTAGACTCCAAACAATAAAAGGAACAAAATTACATCACTAGGTTCCATGATGAGACCAACCCCAATTTTTTGAAAATCAGATTCAAGATCATGCGTATCAAATCATGATTAACTTCCACCGCATCACAGATACAGACGAAGCTATTTCAATCACTAAATAAGTAAATTGAAATTAGAAGAAAGAAAAAATTCATGAACACAAGCATCTTAAATCATCAAAAACCCATTGGGAAAAGCCATGAGTTGAGAAAACTATGAATCATCGAAGATCACCGGAACCCATTTAGAAAATTACATGAATTATTAAACTTAAGGAAAAAAAACCCATCCAGAATAGCATTGAATACTGAAGAATATCAAAAACCCATCGATAAAAAACATGAAATCATAAAGATTACAAATATTACCAGTAAGGAGATCCTGATAAACCAACATGATTATGATCGCTGAAAATAATAAGTTGTGCTTGAGTCTGTCAATTTTGAGACTCAGAGAAAAGGTAGGGTACAGATTTGAGGAAGAATGAAGGGTGGGGAGTAGTTATAGTTGGGAAAGAGTTGGCCAATTAACCTCTAGAACACATATTAACATGTTTTGTGCTGGTTCCTTACTTGATCAGGGTTGGAAGAGAAGAAAGTTACAAAACACCCCCTTAAGTTTTATAAACTATCCGAAACTGCCCCTTTCTTTTATTAAATTCCATCATAATCCCTTCTAGGATAAATTTTAGACACCTATGACCTATGATAGGTGGCCTATCCCATTTCCATCAATGGATTTTTCTCGTATTTCTATCAGAAAATCTAACAGAAACATTATTGTGGAGATTCTTACCAAAAAAAAAAAAAAAAAGCTTATTGGTATCCATTGTCATAAACTCGTAATCATGGCCATTAAAACCAAATCTTACTCATTTAATAAACGTTTTTAATCATGAATTGATCTATAAATTTTATAGTAAATTACAAATTTTGTTTCTATAGTTATATGAAATTTATGGATTGTCATGAAGCAAAATAATTACAGCTTTGATTACTGTTGTTTCATTTTTGTTATAGATTAGATCCTTTGATCTAACAATGTCTATTTCTTCATCGTTAAGCCTCCCATATGTCCTTCATGTGAGGGGCATTGTGATCATTTTATATTTCTTTAATAATTTTTTATTAAATGTTGTTGCAATATGTACAAGTGTAAAAAGCTATTAATCATAAAAAAAAACAATACCCCAAAACCCATTAGCCCCCCCTCCCCTATGTTGCCAGGGGCAAACCTATGAACGACCCAGGGGAGGGGTCCTGTGTACCAATTCAAATGATTTTTGCAAGCATAATTTTTTTGGTATAAAAGTTGCAGAAGCTAAACTATAATTAAGAGTTATTAAACATACTAGAAAATGAAAAGGATATTAACCAAAAAACAGATAAAGTCTCTCCAAATTAACTAAAGAACCCGAAAATGTCTCTTAAAATCCACCAAAAGAATTAAAAGAAGTTCTTTCAAAATCAACCAAAGAAACTTAAAAATCCTTCGAAATTTACCAAGAAATTGGAAAAAAAAAATCCTTCTATAGAACAACATACATCTAAAAACATATCAGGCTTACTGTAACAACCTTTTTTAAAGCTAAATAGAAAAGAAAAGGAGGGTTGTTATATATTAATAGAAGGAAATAATAATAATAATAATAATAATAATCTATAACTATATTATAAAACATTTAACAAAAATTCTTAAAACCCACTTTTTATGCGTAAAGTACTGTTTATTAATGCATATTACTTAAAACTCAATATTGGAAGTAGATTGTGCGTAAGTACAACTTACTAAAACTCCGTATCTGAATTCGTGTAACCAACTGCAGATAAACATAATCAAATACATGATACACATCTCATTTTAAATAAATTTTTTTTTATATAATTAAAATAATCATTAAGTTCTAATAGAAGTGTTGTCTTTATAAAAATTTGATTGTTATGTCAAAAATAAATTACTTCACTTTTTACCTAAATTAAATTACAATAAAAAATTGAATTAAAGAAATTGTACAAAAAACGAGAACTTTTAAATAGTTAATTTGATATTAATATAAATATATTTTTTTCAAATTTTTATGATATCTTCAAATTTATTTTTATTCAAAAGTAAAAACATTATCTTTTTCAAAGCCACATAAACCATAAATTATATCAACAAAGACAAAATAAAATGAATATATATCTCGCTGAATTGTGCAAGCACCATTCTAGTAATAATAAAAGGGGTTGTAAAATATTTATTTTAAGTACTAAAAACAAAAAGAGGGTCGGAAAAGGGGCTGGAGATGAGGTGTTCTATTGTGACATGGAGTGATTGGGATAACACCACATCAAGGGGGGAGTCACCTAGTTCCAAATGGTAAATTTCATGGATATATTAGCATGTTTACGTTTTGTTATGAGGTATATGATGTATAAACTTGAAATTGCTAACAAGTAATTACTTAATAGTTAAGTATGTTCCGGATTTAGTATCATCCCATGCTCCGAAGACAGATGTAGAAAGTTCAAGGGAGCTGCAAAACTTTCGACGTAGTCGAGTTTTTGTATTGGTCTGTGTTATATCGTTTTGATATTATATCGTGCCTTAGTATATGTGTATTAGAAGTTTGATTGTATTGTAACTACGATCCATAGAAATGGTTTTATACTAATAAAATTATGTTTTGACTTCAATCATTTCCGCTTTACTTAAATATATTTTATGGTATTCACATATGAATAATTATAAAAAAAATGTATGTAACACCCTTCGTGTGGTTTCAATTTAGAGATGGAAACGAGGATTATTACACTTACACATAAGACGTAATCTCACGTCTTGCTCAAAAGGTGAAAAATATGGACTTGTATTTTTTGGAGATGTCTTCATATATACAAGCCTCAGAAAGGCTAGGACATCTTAATGTGTGAAAAATACGAGGTGTAGTCTATGTAAATACCTCTTGTACCCCATGAAAAGATGCCATCTTAATGAATGTAATCAACTAAAGATGTAAGAGATATATGTATATGAAGGGAAAGTTTGGTATGAAACATGTCAGTTTTCGGAAAAGCAAAAGGTAAGGTATGAAACTACCTTACTATAGGAGGACGCATTGCACACATGGAACTCGGTAAATAAAAGGTTTCTACTGGTTGTTCTACCCGAAAATAGATTGTTTCATTGCAGGATTAAGAAACGAAACTCGAAGGTTTCTATTGGTTGGACTACCGAAACATTTTAGAAAACAATCAACATTGCTAAGGTAGTCGAGAGGTTAAAGTGAAAAGAACAAAGTGTTGATCAGAATTTGAATACGAAACCAAAGCTTCGGGTTCAGAATTTTGTTAAAGTAAATCAAAAGAAACCTTGTGATCATTGTGGTAAGAATCACCCTGGTGAACGTAGGAGAAAGACTGGAGCATGTTTTCGGTGTGGGAAATAAGGCATTTCAAATGGGATTGTCCTCAAGGTAACGGGCTCAACACAGAAACCAACCACAACATGAGGTTAATAAGAGTCTCAGATAGGGTAATAAGGGAAAAGCGAAAACTTGGGCCTTCCAAATGACGAAAAATGATGCGAATGAAACACTGAATATAGTGACAAGTATGCACTTTATCAATATTCAACTTGCTCATATATTGTTTGATTGTGGTGCAAGTAGATCTTATGTCCCTTTCATTTTATCAAAATTTGAAAGTAAATAGAAAGGAATTAAAACCAGACTTTGAGGTTGAACTAGTTGACAGGCAACTATGTTAGGATCAACCAAATATGTAGAGATTGCACAACAGAAATTGATGGAGATCATATGCCCGTTGACTTAATACCCATGACTTTGGGTGAATTCAGTGTGATAATAGGAATGAATTGGTTGTGGAACCACCATGCCAAAATAAATTGTAATAAAAAAATACTTGAAGTTAGATATTTTGAAGGTAAAACAATATTGGTAGAAGGGAACAAACTGAAAAGTAGGATGATGTAGGTAAGTTTGGCTAGAACACAACGTTGTATAAGGAAAGGGTGCCCAACATTCTTCGCATATGTTATGAATGAAAGAAAACAAAAAATGATAGAATCAAAATATGTATTGGTTATACATGAGTACATAGTTGTGTTTCTAGAAGATTTCCCAAGGTTGCCTCCCAACAAACAGGTACGATTAGGGATTGACCTAGTGCCTGGAATGGTACCAGTAGTCAAAACTCCATATCAGTTAGCTCCATATGAAATGCAAGAACTGAGAAGTCAGTTACAAGAGTTACTCGATAAAGGTTTCATTCGGGAAAGTTCGTCGCCCTGGGGTGCACCAATTTTCTTCATTAAGAAAAAAGATGGCCCGATGTGCATGTGTATCAACTACAGAGAATTGAATAGATGAACAGTGAAGAATAAATAGCCCCTCCTAGAATCGATGATTTGTTCGATCAACTGTAAGGGGCCAAGTGCTTCTCAAAAATCAATTTCATGTCGGGATACCACCGACTAAATGTTAAGAGTGAAGATGTTCCCAAAACGGCATTCAAAACCAGATATGGCCATTGTGAATTTTTGGTCAGACCTTTGTGTTGACAAATGAACCAGCTGCCTTTATGGAATTGATGAATAGAGTATGTAAACCATATCTCGACAAGTTTGTGATTGTGTTTATAAATGGCATTCTCATTTATTCCAAGAATAAGGGTGAACATCGAAAACATTTACATGTAATATTGAGTTTTTTTTTTAAGACAAGAGAAGCTCATACGAAATTTTCAAAGTGTGAATTATGGCTCAAGGAAGTTTAATTTCTCGAGCATGTGGTTAATGGACGAGGAATACAAGTAGATCCTACTAAGGTGAGTACCATTATGAAATGGGAAGCTCCCAAAAGTTCATTTCAGATTCAGAGTTTTTCTTGAGTTAGCAGGATATTATCGTGGGTTCATCAATGAGTTCTCCAAGATAGCATCTCCAATAACGACATTGACAAGAAAAAGTAAGAATTTTGAATGGGGAAAAGAGCAAGAATAAGATTTTCATATTCTAAAAAAAGCTAAGTAGTGCACCCATTCTATCATTACCTGAGGGAACATAAGGGTTTACAGTATACAACGATGCTTTGAGATTAGGACTAGGTTATGTACTTATGCAATATGACAAGGTGATAGCCTATACATCAAGGCAACTAAAGGAAAATGACAAGTAATGTTCGATATATGATTCAGAAGTTGATGTAGTTGTATTTGCACTAAAGATCTGCTGACATTACCTTTATGACACTCATTGCATCATATATACTAACCACAAGAGTCGACAATACTTATTTAGTTAAAATGACTTAAACATGAGACAACAACAATGGATGGAATTACTTAAAGACTATGATTATGAAATTCGAAATCATCCTAACAAAGATAATGTGG